ACGTAAATAAATTAATTGAATTGAATTGAATTATTCCATCTATTCACCACTTTATAGGGTATTTACTTCTATTTACCCGAGACAAACCTTGCCCCTGGGGTACATAGTGCAGAAGCTATTTCCGAAATACATTTTGTTTTTAATACGTGCTACATGTATTATATAGTTTTATTGTTAGAGATGACTACACATTTTACGACAGCGTCTTTCGAATGATGTATGAAGATCCTAAAATGGCAGTTTTCTGCAGTTCCCTGATGTTGTGTTCGCCCGGAATGTTGGCCAAATATTTGCTGAGTGACTTGGAGACAGTTCCAGTTGCTCCTATAATTACCAGGATTGCTTACACTTTCCACATTCGCTGTATTTCAATGAGAAGGTCCTTGTATTTCAAGATCTTCCCCGCTTCCTTCTTAATCTCCTTCCTGTCAGTCGGTATTGCCATATCAATTAAGAGACAAGTTCCGTCTTTGTTTCGGATTATAATATCTGGTTTGTTATTATTATTATTATCATCATCGTTATATTCCGCCACAGTGGCCGCGTGGTCGCTGGGACCGTGAGTTCGAATCCCACTCAAGTCATGGATGTTTATCTGTGTCTTTCTGTGTTGAGCTGTCCAGTGTACAGGTAGAGGCCTTGTGACGGGCTAATCCCTCATCCAAGGAGTCTTACCGAATGTCTAATAGATGAAAGTCAATGAAAAAGTTGGGACCCGCAGATGCTCAAGGCACTGAAAAACGGGTGGCCTAGGTATTATATTGTAATTATTATAATTATTATTGCTATTTGGGTCGATATATGTCAGTCATTGTCGCGACTAGATAAGGACTGGACGACAGATCCGATTTTTTTCATCGCCGAAACGTCCGTACAGGCTCTGTCCAACGGGTCCTTCAGCTGATCTACAAAGTTCACTCACCTTTTTTTGTAAAATTTTGGCCACAGTCGTTTCTAATGTGTGCTTAATTTGTCGTTGCATGTGGTTGCTTTATCTTTCCTTCTCTGTTTGATTACTCAGATAATCTGCGTCACTCCTCTGGTGAAGAACTTTTCTGGTCGCAGGACCTTCTGGTAGTGAAATACTGAAAGATATTGTTTTAGTTCCCATTAGCAGCTGAAGTTACAAGGAATCTTTAACAGTTTCAGATACACGGTTAGTGTCGTAATCCACTTACAAGGAACATTAAGTTGGATGCTGCCTTAGCGTGTTCTTCATGATACACTTAAAAATGTGAGTTGCTATTTTTAGATTATTTATTTCAAACACATGTACTCAGAGCTTACAGGAATAAAAATCTCTTGCACGTGTATGCGGAAGTGTCAGATTTTGCGATCTACAATTAGTATTAATAGTTGGAGACTCCTCGTCAGAGTACAGCTGTAGATATGAAAATGGCAAAAGTGACATGTGGCCTTCTCATACAATTTGTAATTTAATTGGCATAACCTTGAGGCATTGCTGTTACATTTATATTCTGAATAACAAATGACTATTGTCCTTTTAAATTATGCTAGTTCCGGTATTATATTTTTTTTTATAAAATAGCTACATTGAAAAAATTGGATGAAATTATTTACTTGTTACGTATTGTCGTGATTGTTAACAATTTTCTAGCTTCCACGATATAATTTGCATATAAGTAAACTGCTTGTACTTCCTTCGTATGAAGTTGGAAAGGTTTCTGTGTTTCAAAGGACGGAGAATTTCGTAAGTCTGTGTGTGACCCATAAAATGTGGATAGAAAAATGGAAATGTTTGAGACGAAAATGACAGGCCTCGAAGGAGCATTTATAGACCTATATAATCAGCATCCTGATACCGCTGAATAGACTACTTATTTTATTTATATTTTACTTAACGACGCATTTTAAGCACCGGAGACGAAATAGCCTCGAATGAGAAGATGATAGTGAATAATAAATTGGAAAGGATGTTGGAAGACGAGGCAGAATACTGTGTGGATATTTTCTCTGATCGTATTTGAACACATCATTATGATTTCCTAATATAAGTAGAGTTAAAGGTTGTGTGCCTAAGCGCATGCCCTGAAGACGTATTGTGGAGTAAAGGTGAACCTCCACTTATTCTTAACCTTGGTATTGGATTGAGGTGAGGAGGCTTCCTAGTCTTAAGAGCAGCGTATGGACATGTTGACAGAAGAAAAGAAACCGTCCCTGCGCCGGGAATGGAACTCTGATATTTGGTTTCTGCTTAAGGTTTAATATCCTAATAGAAATTTCTATTCGGATACCAGTTTTGATGAAACTGTGTGGGAATCTTGTCGAAAGCTACCTGTAAATCACTGTTACTGACCTAACTAATGAAATACACTTTGGGCTGCTTAAGGAATACCTTGTCACAGAAATTGGGAAGTCTGTAAATTCTCTCACAAAATACCATTACATCGTGCCCTTCAAAAATTCGATTTAATATTTTCTTCCAACCCGTAATATTTGTATTCAAGAAGTACCAGGATTAGACCTTCGCCTCATTACTCACTGTATTGACATGGGCACTTCATTTAATCCTTAATCTTTCCAGACGAAATCAAAAATATTACCCTCAAATAGGCCACTATATTTTCCTTAAATATTCGTGCCTTCCTGAACATCTTCCCAATTTTATTCAATCTCATATAACCTTTGCAGTTGAAAGAGTACCGTTAAATAACTGAAGAATGAGTCGATACTTTCTGCTTATCTACGTTACATCTTCAAGATATTTTCGTCTCCGAGACCTTAAAGGAATTTTCACATTTCTGTCCCACAACAAAAAACATTTTGGTTTATTTCTCCTTGGGCTTCGTTCTGTGAACCACGGCGTAGTAAAACGGCAGTGGGACTTCAGAGGATCGGCCTCTTATCTGGCATTGCAAAATTAAGGTTTACGCTTCTAGTAATAACCAACACACATAAGCAAAGTGATATACCACGCTCTCGTGACAGCGAATTTGAAGATGGCTGTCTGCTGGGATGTTGTTCCGCGTAATTTAGCAGAAGACTACCGGCATTTCAAAGGGACTAGCTACCGTCATCATCAGGGCGATATTAATTATCCAGGTAGCAAGCACCTCTGAAAAGTTGGTTAACTTGTACCGTAATTCATGGCATAGTATCGCCGATGACAGTCAAAGCAAATTCATTTGTATTAATATTATACAAATTAAAACTTTTATGTGATGTTAAAATCGAAATTTTATATATTACCATAATTGAATATTATACACAAAAATTATTCACTACAGTTCATGCAAGAATCTGTACAGTCAGATGTTCTTCTAGTTATGCGTCTGCTTAAAGCGTTTCTGAAGGATGCTGGAAACCGATCTCAAATATCCGTGTTCGCTTTTCCACTACTTCGTCGGACACATGAAGACGACAGAAACAGTAATATTCATCACATATTATTTATTATCAATAACGAACGTAAAAATTGTGCTAGTTTCGAAATAGAGACTTTCTCATCTGTGGTTACATAAATCAATTTTAACGGTAACGAAAAATTTCAGACCGTCCGCGATCCACCTGTTCATGAACACTGACGTGGCCGCTGCCTTGACACTCATTTGTTAACCAACAATTCAGCATAGTTTCCGCACAGCCATCTTGTAGATCATTAGACTGCGAGCTTTACAACGTAACAGGTGCTTGGCAGATACCTCAAGGTGTTTGTGTTTTTATTGCAGGTTTGTGACTTCAGTGAGTGCAGTGTGGAGTGATTAACGTCCCTTCGTACACAATATATTAGCTTACATTCATTATAAAGCATTCTGTACAAAGTGCAGATGGTTAACAGACGTAGGTCTGCAGATTCCCTCGGGTCGGAAACAGAAATAATACGAGGCTTTACTGTTAAATTGCATTTTTTAAAACCATTAAATGGATTACAGAACATTTATGGATAGGTTCTTAGCAAACTTTATTTTATGTAGTTGCAGGAAAATGTATATTCCTGTTGGCATACAAAGTCATACGTGTTTTGGAATATTAAGATATTGGTAATGATATGTCTCCTTATGATGCGTTTTGATGTAAAAATAATAACAATACTAATAATAACTTGAAGACAACAAATCTTTCTGTCAAAACTTTGCTTTCCATCTCTTTCTTTGTCCCGCAGTATCGCTTCTATATCTTGGTGTATAATTTAAGACTTGTTTTGGCATTTTTTTGTAGATGTTCTAAACGCCGGGGCTCGATAGTCCTTTACGTTATCTTTCACCGAATATGTTTCTAATTATCTACGTATTTAATTATTTTTAATATCGTTAAATCTTGTAAATCGCTTTCGAATTTAATTTCAGCGAGTTTGGAGGTAATAAGTTGGCATTACATTTACCAGAATTCTCTGACAACAGACTCATAATATTTCTCCAGCAAAATTATCCAAGGCAAATAAATTTCATGGTGTTACTATTAATGATAAGAGAATAACAAAAAACTATGGCAAAGTACCAATGAGCGAATTCGTCTATCACATCCGTACGTATGATATAGCAGTTTGATGCCACGTATTATGTCTAGACTGGTATGAAAGTTCAGATTTCAAAGTAGTGAAAACTTGAAAGTTCTTTGGCACTTGACAGACAAGTGATGCCGTGCACGTATTACGAAGGGAATTATAAATTACAGAGGTCAGTAACGGCAGTGAAAACTTTACGTAAGAAATGGTATTTTACGAAAGAGCTTCTAATGAACATAATTGAAAATTCCTTACAATAAAAGAAAGTAAACACTGTTTGAGTTATATAAATAACTACAGGTTCATAATTGTGGCGGTAAGAGCGTAGACATTGTAGGATTGGTTGACCGGAATATTCTAACCTAAATTTGTTAAGAAAGACATATCAGAACATGTGATCTAGAATTAGAAATTTAATTAAACTGGCCTGCCTACTATAACACCTCAAAGGAATGTTTCTGTGTGTTATAATTTTATTTATTCGTTTATTTAACAACGTTTTATCAATTTATGAGTTTATGCAACGTCAAATTAAATGCACTAACCTCGTATGATAATGGCTGATGAACCGAGCGGGAGATGCGAGGAAGCAGTTTTATCTCAATAAATTTCGGTCTAAGAAAATCTTATTAATGTGATTACTAAGTATTTGAGGTTTTCACGGCGGCGAAAATGTGGTCTTTGTGTAGCCACGCTGTGCAGTCTTATAAAAACGTTTAAGAGGAGAATATCGCCTCTGTCTTCAGGATAGAAGTTATTCCGGAACGTTGATGAGCAGGTAAAAGATTAAACACCGTCGCTGTTCAGAATCGACGCGGATAGTTCGGGGTGCCTAGTTTCTAGGAAAAGGGCCACAGATATGAACGGACCATTAAGGTATTTTTAATTCTCGATAAAGTGTGAAGAACGCCTAAAAATTAATTTGACGTACCACATCATCATTACTTTTGTTTTTACGATAATTTTTTCCTGAGGTTTTATGGGCTTCAAACCACAAAGAGACTATGTTGGAAATATGCAGAGTTGTGGCGGTAAATCTAGTTACATGTGCTCTAAAAGGGGAAGGATTACGGAACACATAGCACGTATCATTTGAACAATAAATGATGAGAAAGCTCTCTTTTCAGATGTAAAGTTCCCTATATATGACTGACTGTAAGATAATAGTCCCCATACAGAGTGAGCCAGAAGTATGTTTCATTTTCGAAATAATAGCCAAAAATAAGTTTCAATGTATGCCTTTATTGCCAAGTATAAGGACAGGGATGTTTCTTTACAACAGATGCTCAAAGGTTGTTCCTCCATTCTCCACACATGCCCGAGCACGACGTATCTAAGACTGACGAATTCGTTCGTATACACCAGGGTGTCCTCGAATCATCTGGCATGCATTCTGCACACGTTCCCACAGGTCATCATCATTGTGTATGGGTGTTGCATAAACGACGGACTTCGAGTGACCCCACAGATAAAAGTCCAATGGAGTAAGGTCCGGTGACCTCGGTTGCCATGCTACTGGGCCACCTCGCCCAATCCATCGCTGAGAGTACTGTTCATTGAGATGATATCTGACGCGATGGGAGAAGTGTGCTGGGGCTGTCGTGCATAAACTACATTTGTCTTCTGTATTCAGTGATACGTCTTCAAGGAGACGTGGAGAGTGTCTTCTTAAGAATCACCGATATGAAGGTCCTCTTAGACGCGATGGAAGAATGTGTGGACCAATAAGCATGTCGCCAACAATTCCTGGCCAAATGTTAATTGAAAATCTTTGCTGGAAGCTGGATTCACTTTGATATAAAATCAATTCATTGAAACTTATTTTTGGCTATTATTTTGAAAATGAAACATTGCCAACCCATGTTTATAGGAACATTTTTCTTATTTTTGATCCTGGAACACGCACACGAAGTTTGTAAACACACTTCTGACTCACATAGGCTAGTGGTCCTAACACTTCGTAAGACTGCGGAAATATCAACAACAAAAATCTGTTTTTGTGGAACTCTGATAAGAAAAATTTACGTTACTGAGCACGTACTTTTAATTTGGAACCTTATATGCACCTAAATCCACCTCATATTTTAGGAACACTTAATTCTATCCTTACGTAATTTGATGGGTGGACTTGGTTGAATTTGAAGTCAAGGACGGGCAGTTTTGGAATGCTGTGTCCTCATGCCATGTTCTACATTTTGCCTGTTTTGGTACTTTATTTCTGTTGTTGCGTATCTTCCTTCAGAACAGCCCAAATGTTAATCTAGTTCATGCACGTATCTTCCAAACCTGTTTCGTAACCACTGAAAACCTTCTGTGACTGTGACTTGTAGGTCTCTCAAATGTTCTGTTATATCTGGAAGAACAATACTTCTTTGAATCTCAAGTTCTTTGCATAAATCGCATAATGAAAACGCAAAGTATGACGGTCATGTTTCATTTCCTTCGGTCAACATTTTCATATCCTCAAATTGATTAAATGTGGTATTGGTGATCTGTACATCTTTCGATCGATCTGAATTTTTATTCGGATCGGATAAATATAACGTCAACCGTACATTGTCCTCAACGTACAAAATATTGGTTCATCACTTATAATATTGATCTGCAAATTGTAATCTTGATAAATAATATTGGTATACAGTTAGTGATATTTGAGGTTTTTGATGATCATCTGAATTTTAGCTCAGCGTGGACTCGTAGGTAGTTGCAAAGATTTCGGAGAGATATATTGTCTCCATCTTCAGGGCTAAACTAACTGCACTATGATTTTGTTTATCTACTGGGCAGAATATAATTACTAGTTTACACGGCGCATAAACCCAGAAAATTAAAATTGTAGTTTAGTTAGTTCAAAACAGAAGATTTGTATTTGTAAATAAATAATGAGAGATAAACGTGATTAACCTACGCAATGTCCGACATCTTTTCACTTTTCTTTAATTTAATGACCGATATTTTGAAGTGGAATGAAATTAGCGTCATTCAATGTTAATTATTCGAATCTGTTTCACTAAACGGCTTAGATTTTATGAACGTGTTTAATTCGCCAATACCGACTTTTGGGTTCCATACGAAATGGTTTGTTGTAATGGGAAGGGCGTTTGCTCAAACAACACTACATACCAGGCTAACCGCTTATGTCGCTTTTAAAATAACACGGAGTCACATAACTAAGCTATGTCACTTTTCTTGTAGCTGTTCCAAACATCACGAAACAAGGAACACTGCGACACAGTTTGAACAGGGGTTGGTAAAATTCGCCCAAGAAATGAATTCCGTCCTACCCGACGAGTTCATTTATTCTTGGTTTCTTTAACGACACTTTCAGTAACGCATCAAATGATCGGATGGTTAGTGGAGTGAACAGATTAGTAAGAACCCAGTCGTGGCCTACTGTAATGTACTGGCACGGAATTCTCCTAGAGGGGCTGAGTAAAACCACGAAAACGCCAGTCAAGATAGCTGGTCCCCGGATTTTCATAAATCTGTACTTCGTCATCGGCCTACCTAAGCAACAGTTAAAATAGAGGGTTTTATGGTAACGTGAGTGTTTGGTTCCTTTATACAAGTTGTCCCATTTAAAAATCAACCCTAACTACTACAAACGAACCCCTTCACGTAAAAAAGACGAATCGAAAGAAAGTTTAGAGATCTAGCAGCCATATTCCATTGTTGCATCTGATGCACTGTTTGCACTCAGTACAGAGGTAAATTTTTTGTTGTTTTATCACGCGATGAGCACTTGTCACAGACAAACACTCTTTTCGTAATCTTGTCACTAGTCGGCACTTCCTTGTCAGAATGAACATTGTTGAGTGCTGCACGAACAACAGCAAACTATTTAGATACGAAGCAACGTTTGTGCATGAACACACGTTTTGCTCGTAAACATGCAACTGCACATCTTTTGCGCATGAGCAGCGGTGACCTTGATTCGAATATCACGGGTGAGGTTGGGAGAGTTTATTTATTTCGCGGGGGCGTACCTGCTTCTCACCTAATTCTTACACCGCAGTACGCGGCTCTTACTGGCTTGCGTTTTAATTTAGTGTGCCTACAAAAGTGAAAGAGAAAGTCGGGTTTGGCAAAGACGTTGTTTAAATCGTGACAACATCAACCAGAGATAAAGATGTCGCTTGCGAATAAATTAATAGAATGCGTCGTGAATTTTATGTGTGTTTATGTATCATTTGAAAATGTTCGTCCGCGTATTTTACATTTCATTTTATAATATACTCGGGAGAACAGTGAACTAACCTACATTTTATTTAAACTGAAACAGGGGGGAATAAAGTTAAAATGGCTTCTATAATTCCAAATTGCAAGATTCTGAAAGATACAGATGTGAAATCAACAAATCACATGTTTAATTATTCGTGTTTTTTCCGTCTAATCACAATTGTATATAAATAAAATTTATACATAAGATATTAAAATATCATTTACATATTTGGTACATCTTTTTACTACATGTTTCGGTTACATTGAACCATCTTCAGGTTTATATACAATTGTGATTAGACGGAAAAAAACACGAATAATTACATTTTAATTCACAATATGACGCAATTATATCAACTTATAAAATCACATGTGGTTTAGCCCGCCCCCATATTAAGACAGATGAGGATGGTGAGATTACGTATTTTTTTTAATATTCCACAGTTTCGAACTTTGTGGTTTAGCCCACTGTTGTGTCTAGGTTCTCAATTACAGACTTTTGTCACGAGATTGCGAGGCTCGCGGTTTTTTAAAGAATGAAGTAATTTGACCTTAAGTAAAAATAATAAGTCACACCTGTACCACAGGTCTTTCACTCTGTGACCTTGTGTTACTTGCATTGCAGGTTCTGGTGTGATCCTTTCTTTCAATGGCGATTGCAGATTTAGCGCTGAAGGACGCAGTGGCCTCCAGTGAAGGTCGTAAAGACGTCGGAACGGAGAACACCCCGCGTCGGTAAGTTCTTTGTTGTTGCGTATTTTCATGTTGGTTCTGGGTGTATCTCAGGTCCTGAACTGGCACAATGTTGCCTTTTGGCGGACCTAGTAAGTAATTTTGTTCAGTGAGAGTTGCTATGTCAACAACATCCAAGTCTTCTTCCTTGACATGAATTGGGTGATACCAAGCCCGTTCTGAATTGAGAAGGTTAAAATTGGTCCTTCCATCGAATTCTTGGTCTTTCTATATCCCTCGTTCGTATTGGTTTATACGTAAATAGCTTCTTAGGGAATCTTCTTGTGTTATTAATCAAATAAAAACCAAAACATTCGCTAAGAATCAGACTTATAATAATCCAATTCGCCTAATATTGCTACATTTACAATAAGAACACAGGGAAACCTTATGGAAACTGAATTATAATAACCGCGCCGTGGATTACGGTATGTTTAAGATCAGTGTAAAGGCTAGCGGAATTGTTTATGCTAGTCAATTTCAAGAGATGACCTTAAAAAGAACATTACGACTAAAAATAGACCACAATTACTTAAAACATAGAAACTTAAAATGTATTGCAGTTAATACGAGATAACTTTGCATTATCTTCCCCATATTTACAACTGTTATATTTCAATGCTAAATTATTTGCAAAAAAATCAAGCGCTTTAAATGTCCTTTGTAATCTCCTTGTATGTGTCTTCGTGGATTTTCTGTATCTTTCATTAACTACAATTATTTATGCCGGACGTCTTATAAACACCGACGCCAATATGTCTGCCTAATTTAAAGAAAAACATTACTTAATATAAGTGACTTATGAGAGTCCTTCGACAAAGAAAGAAAGAAAGCTTTACTTCGGTGAAGTGTCAATGTTCCCTCATGTACCAGTCGGTACGGGACCAGACACGCTTGCATGTTTAATTTTCCGTAACAAATTGTTCATTGTCATTCTGGTTAAAGGTTACGTATTTTAATCTCATCACACACAAAAGGCTTTTACTTGGAAAACACATACTTTAGAATTGTTTTTGTTTCGCGAAGTACTAATGGCATAAAGATACGAGGTGCGATCGGAAAGTTTCAAGACTGCGCCTATAAAAACCCGTACACTTATCTCAGGTATTAAATTCATCCATCACCCTCGAAGTAGTTCCCCTGGGAGTGAACACAACGATCCCAGCGCCGCTGCCAAGCCTGGAAGCATCCCTGTAAATCTTTCTTTGTCAGCCTGCCGCAAAGGAGTATTTTGAAGAAGTCTAGAATGTTTGAGCTTTAACCATAGATGCAATTCGTCTCGGCATGGATTCACAAGGGAATATTCCGGTTGGACATGTCGAAATCTCACCTGAGAATTGTGCAAAAATGCGAAAAAATTTCTCAAAATTTGAAGTGCATAGGTCAGGTGGTGAGACACGTGTATTTATATCGAATAATTACGTACATTAGAACCATTTGCAAAATTATACACTACAATTGTCACAGAAATGTGAAACATAATTTAGAATGCTCGAAGCATTTGTTCAAATTGCGATACGAAATCGAATTAAAGTTTTATTTGCACATTCCTCGACGTCGCAAACTTGGTTTGTTCAGCGTAGGCAGAACTGAGCTGAGGTCGCAGATTGACGTGCCGCGTGCCACACCACGAGCATTGGATCACGTTTCGAAATCCAGGGGATGAAAACTGATAATGTAAGACTTGAGGTTCTCACAGCAGTGAGTATGAAGATATCCGATATTCATCGCCCTGATGACGGAGGCAGTATGACCTCTGAAACGTTGGTTAACATCGACCAGACTACACAGCGCAATAACCCAGAAGACAGAAATCTTCATGCATAAGTCATTTGCAGCAATGACGCACTTAGTTGAATGACTGTCTTACACTGCTCTTAATTGTCTTGCAGGCTCACGAATATCAACACTGAACGTGATGGAATGGCAATTTATTTTATCCTTGAAAACATTAATAAGAAATAAAGCTTCGCTGACCGAAATAAAGCGTTCTGAAATGCAAAAGATTATAAATGACTCATAATTACGTAAAACATTAAACTAAAAGAGAAACAAACAAACACACACACACACACAAACTGGCATTCATCGCCCTGATGACGGAGGCAGTATGACCTCTGAAACGTTGGTTAACATCGACCAGACTACACAGCGCAACAACCCAGAAGACGGAAATCTTCATACTCACCGCTGTGAGAACCTCAAGTCTTACGACTTATGCATGTTTTGGGGCATTTTAAGATGAATAGTATCTTCCTAGAGGACACGTTCTGTATAGGAGAAAATTGTTATGTATTTATCTTCATTTTGTGTACCTCTTTTCTGTTTCCCCACTTTTTTAAATGTATGCCTTTCATAGATGCTTTGCTGTTGGCCAAACACTCTAATATTATCATTATTATTAATAATTTTTATCTTTATGTCACATATTCTTTTAATGGCCTATGTGACATTGCGTATGAAGGCATTTTAGTTATGTAGGATTTGAGGTTTTCAAGGCGGTGAGTCTGAAGATGGCTGACTCCTGGGTTTAGTCTGGTAGAAGTTTACTGACATTTCAGAGGCTCTTGCTGCCTCCATCATCGCAATAACCCAGAAGACAGCCATCTTCGCACTTTAGTTAGATTAAATGCATTTTGAGCATCTTTTTCGTATTAATGTTTTTAAGTACATAATTAGTTACTCATCTGTTTTGGATATTGTTATTATGCGCATTCCCACTAGGCAAGAGACCAAAGGACACGAATCTGATATTCACTATGCTTATACTGTGCATTGTAACTTCAAGGTCAACCCTTGAGCCATGTGTTTTTGCTCCCAGTGCTCTCTGTAGGATAATTGGCGTATTTTATGAAGGTAGTTTTTTTTTTGCTTATGTTAATCTGTTTTTAGTGAAGGTACTTTTCTTATTTTTGTTTTCATTTATTTTATTGTGCATTTATTATATTGCTTGTCTGAATTTTTATACATTTCAACGACCTCCTTCCGACAGGTTTTTTTTCTGCTGTCTGAATTGTTGCACACATTAATTCCGTGAGCTTACGACAAATATTTTACAGCCTAACTCAACTATCCTCATCTAATGGTCGTCTTGTAGTGCGACGTGTATTACAAACCCTTGTAGCTTATTATATACGTCATGTTAACTGCCAGTAATCTGTTAAATACAGAAGTGGATACTACGCTGAAACGCTGTTTGCACTACAATCGATTCAACGAACGAGAGTCGACTTCAGCAATGTGACGGTTTTTAGACACGACTGTTACATGTGTTTGATACGTGGAGATGATGAGAAGACCTGTTTGACCAGCGGGGTACTCTAGGGCAGTGGTATTCAACCTGGGGTACGCGAAGACATCTTAGGGGGTACGTGAAATTTAAAGAAATATATATATTATTTTATGATAAACACTGAATAATCAGTAATGTAACTTATTTAATTTATTTTAGATGTATATTATATATTATGTATAACTTGAATTATACACCATCAACTTTGGGGGTACAAAGTTGAAGAGAAATTCTATTTTGGGGGTACGCGAATAAAAAAGGTTGAATACCACTGCTCTAGTGTATATAATCACTAATAAGTTGGGTCTGGAATGGTTCTTATGTGGGAAAAATTGCAAAGGAGGTGTGAGATTCTTACCTTTGAATAACAGGGTGAATTTCTGAACCAGCAGACGCGAGTAAACACGTCGCTTATAAAATTAAAAAAATCATATTCCCGCCAAGAGGATAATTACCCGGAGAAATAATAACTACAGCGAAGGCGGAAACAATAATAGGGCTGTAGCCTTTGCATCGGCAGTGCAGCCAACGTTTGAAGTATGTAAAGGTGCTTACAGGCTAGTGAAGTGCATGAAATTGAATGTACATGTGTGGAAGACACATGGACTTTTATTAAAAGTAGAAACATGTGCTATTTTTGCTTTAGTTTGAGGCATGTTACTCGCCAATGCAAAGTAACGCAAATAAGCGAAAATTGTTCGGGTAAACATCACGTATTACTGCAAATTGAGCAGAATTAATGAAGGTCAGACGGTCAGTCCGAAACAAAACTTACATGTAGTGTTTTTTTGGAGGGGGATAACAACACTAGTTTCAAGATGGCTGTCTTCTGGGTTGTAGCACCGTGTAGTCTGGAAAAAGTTTTATCGACGTTTCAGAGGTCCATGCTGCCTCCATCATCAGGGAGATTAATAAGCCGTACGATTGGAAAACGCTGGATTTATAGGAAATGACCGTTAAAGAACAGCCTAACCCTAACCATTACTATTTCCTCAAACAGATCGTTGTCATGGAAACTTTCTTTCTTTGAGATGAGAACCGAGTTTTTTTTTAATTCAGATGAACTTCGGGCTTCGAAGGGTTAAGTCATCGCTTAACTGATGCAAAACGCTCACTGAACATTCGGGAAAGTGTTCTCACGTTGGAACTACGTCTACTTTAGGGTCCGGCGGGAGGGGGGCGTGGCTGAACGTTACCTGAGATCACCCCCTACACGTTACAGTGAATTAACCAAAGTATATGTTCATGGCCTCTGTGATGCTGTCCGGTTCATGTTATTAGCTCGCGTTCAGATATACAAACACGGGGCACACTCCCCGCCACACAAACCTCGAGGCATCCAACACTGAAAGATGCTAACCGGTTTACAATGCTTGTTATTACTGCAATCAATTGGAGCAGAAACATTCCCTCTACCCTGTTATGATTTATGAAACCCCAACATTCGTTCTCAAATAACATTTTATCCGGTTAATTGGGGGCGAAAACTGGACACATTCGGTACAAGACCTTAAGGCCACCTGTTTTGGTAGTGACAGCTGTAGAGAAAGTCAGAGGTCGGAGTAGACAGTTGCAGTAGATTATCTGGACATTGACAGTGAAGCAAATTTTGCCGGTGAAGACATTGGACGAAGGTAGGGACTGAGTAAGATGAGAACGGGAATTCCAATAGGTGGTATGTCGACATAGAATTCTGGAAAAGATTGAAAATCTCAAAATAGAATTAAGATTGACGAATGACATTCAGCACAAGAGCACCATTTTACACCAATTTAAATGACATTCTGACCAGTACAGTGTATCTCCTTCACGCAGTTGGAAGCACATGGTGGAATTGAAATTGGCTAATCCAAAGTTAAATAATCCGGGATAAGAAGACATATTGATCGGTGTAGATATTTTCGGGAAGATAATACGACCAGGGCTTGTCACCGAAACACACGGTTCTTCTACAGTCGGGTTGTGACGGGACTGGCTGACATGTTGCATTTAACTTCAGTTGTAATCCACTCGGTGGAACGTGAAGAAACTGCTGAAGAGATTTCGGATTTTGGAAGATTTTCCAATCGGGAAACATCTCAATCCATTCCTGGACAATGATGGCCGAAGAATACACAATTAATTCTTGCCAGACATCAAAGGTGACATCGGATTGTTGGAGGTCGGAAATCGGTGTGACATTTCGTCAGAAAGTGTAATTTATTGAAGTCATCGCCATGTAACGCAATAGGAATTAGCGGCTGCCTTCTAACAAAGATTGTACCTCAGGCACTGTTTCGACGAAGCAAGGGAATGGACAAAGGGCGAATGACTTTCTTTGTATGCTTCGTGGCCAGAGCGATTTGCTTAGAACATATTATGGAGGCATTTATCGCAGCGTTAGAATGGTTCGTCGCCCAATGTTTAAAACTTCACGAGATTCTCAGTTACTGTGACAAGGATTTTTTTCACTGTGATGCCCGAGAAGTGAGGGATTTCATGAAGTTTTTGACGCCAGAAATCACACAAGACGTTTCGCTGAGATATGTGTGTGACCAGGTTATGAAGTGACACTTCAGCACACCAGCAGCGTAAATCATGATGGTTTGTGGGGAAAGGGGATTTTGTCCCTCAAAGAATATCTGCGATGTGTTGTACTGACAGCTGGCTTCAACTGTGAAGAATTATACTCGTCCCTTAATCATTTTGAAGCTTGTCCAGCCTCTCCAGCGATTCTAATGGTCTTCAGCCTCCGAGTCCTGGAAATTTCTTTATTGGTCAACCTCTGAATTTTCTTTAAAAACCCAGCCTCTTTTTAATTCAACCAAAGTTATTGAAACCGTGGAATTTACTCCAGGAAGCGGTTCAACCATCCGAGTAATAATGCAGACTTCAGCAGTTCTAAGTTGTGATATGCACGGACCAGCACCGAAGTAGGTAAAATGATTCTTTTGAAAGATGAACATGTTCTCCTGATTGACGTGAGAGCTGAGAACAATTCTTCCTGTACTTCCGGCCAAGATGGGCTTTTGAAGATGTGACAGTGAGATGTGATGGAAAGGAATTTAAAATGTCAGTCTCTTAACTCTGTCGCCTGCCTCGGTCGCTTGTCTCTGTCGCGTGCAGAAAAATTGTACCTTTAGTGTCCTAACTAAATACCGACTAAGTTAACATTATCGCGTAGACAGCTAAAGTTGACTCTTCTCCTGACAAGTAATTTTGTGTTTTTATCCTCCTTTCAGTAAAACTAGAGAATTGTCAATGTGACTTGTATAGAGTGGCGCACAAAATGATGCCCGAATGTAAGTTTAAACGAAAGCACTAATATCCAAAATAATGGTACAATTTATTGAGATTTATCCTTTATAGAGTACGTGCTTAATATGCCACTTCCGAAACACGAACGGCTAAGTTCGTGTTTACTCGACGGTAAATATTCTCCGTAATTTCACCACGCATTTGAACACTCAAAACCCCATGAGTTGCATTTCTGAATAATAAGTTTCAGGTGTTTATATCCGGGTTATCGGGTGTTCACGTAGGTCCACGCCATTGGCGACCAGGGTGCCTGTGGGAAATCACACGTGGACCAAACATTTCGTGCAGGAGGAAGTCAAAGATGAACGTTTGCTGTATGTGGTGTGGCCCCATCTTGCATGAACACACTGACATACTACTTGTTTGGACGATAAAGGATACATCTCCATAAATTTCTCTTTGTGTTCATAAAAGTTTCAGTTGAGTATCTTTTCATGTGTCATCCTGTGGAAATAATTATTATTCCAGCTGTTTTGTTGACCAATGCAATGTCACAGGTATGTTTATGTTCCCGCTTGTATGCATTCAGTAAAATGCTGACATAGTTACTTTCACTTCAAGGGCTATCCAATTTGTGAAGTTTAATTCATGATTGTGTATATTTTCGTCTTTCTGTTGTTAAAATTTCAACAGTTACGTCCAGCGTCTAATATGGTTCTATCTAAATATTTCGAGATTGTCTAAACTTGAAGATCATATTTCTCAGACGTACGGACGACGGTTTGGGTCCGTCCTGGCACTTCTGGAAGAGAAGACGCCACGTAGTCGCCCTGCTCGCCTTCTTCGGGTTCTTCGGCGTGTACGCACTGCGCGTAAACCTCAGTGTCGCCATTGTAGCCATGACGAGTCCCAGGAAAGAGACCTTGAAAAATGGCACAACCATTTTTGTGAGTTATTCTGTTGATTCTTGCATTTTGCTACGTGGGCATTTGCTTCGCCGGGTAAATTTTGAATTATGCAATTTCTACTATGAACAATCTCTTATAAATTAGGTGCAAGGTGGGACCAGGGCTGGTTTTGGGTCAGAGGGGCGTCCCGGTGTTCTTCTGGGTCCTGGGGACTGCCTTGGATGTTCCTTGTAAATAGAGTGACACAACTTATACATTGTTTGATTTGCTACATCTCTGAGGCTAAAGTGTGAGGCTTTTTAAGTTTGTGCATTTCATGAGAAATTGTTCATTTCTGCATTTGAAAATATCTTTAAGTAAAGAATTTGTAAAATTGTATTAGCAAATCGCCGGTTACAGAACAACATTTATAGGCGTAAATTTTTTAAAAAGCAAATTTAGTGTGAAAACATCTTTACGGCGACTAAAACCAAATTTCCGCCAAACGCAGACTCCACCAGACCCATCCATTGGCGTTACCGGAGTTGCCACCGTCAGAACTTAATTCCAATTCTAACAGCGCCCTCATGCAGTCAGGCGTGACGGACATTGGCTATTATATATGCGTCTAAAACGAGGTAACAAATCCCTCATAAGTGCGTGAGTTTAACGCTGACGGAATCTTCCTGTGTGCTAAAGACATTGTTAGATCTTCAAAGATTACAGGCGTCGTGACTGAATTTAATAAAACGTGTTGTTTCACCTTGTAAAGATTACAGATTTCGACTGGGACTCCAAGACTCAGGGTCTGGTCTTGAGTTCGTTTTTCTACGGTTACATCGTGACACAGGTCCTGGGAGGGTGGCTGGCTGGTCGACTTGGAGGAAACACGGTGTATGGCGTAGGGGTGGCTGCCACAGCGGTATTCACTCTGCTGACACCTGTCCTCACAAACACCAGCGTCTACTTGCTGGTGGCAGTGAGAGTGATCGAAGGACTCTTTGAGGTGAGACGAAAGGATAATAATTGCAGTTCACACTGAATGCAGAGAAACCACCCACAGAGCTAGTTAAAATTCTGGAATGCGCTCAAATAATCGAGAAACTACCGGTCATAGTGATCGCGCGGTCTGGGTCGTGGAACGTGATAGCTTGGGTACTGGGACCATGTGTTCGAATCCAGCTGAAGGCATGGATAATTTTTCGAGTCTTTCTGTTTTGTGCTGTCCTGTACAGATAAAGGCCGTGCGACGGGGAGATAGCTCGTCGAAAGAATGTTACCGTATGTCAAAAAATTAAGCTTCCCAATCAAACATTTGTATGCATTTATCACTTCTCCGCGATCCGAGGTGCTACCCAAAAGTTCAGGGAATTTGCCCATAAAAAATTGCTTATCGTAACTCCTAGTTTCCACCGTCTCCTTCGAAGTAGTCCCCTTGGGAGTGGATACAGCGACCCCAGCGATTTTTCCATGATTTCATACATCCCTGGAAGTCTTGAAGTGTGAGTGTTTTAAGCCTGGATCTCCTCAATTGTGTCAAAACGACGGTCTTTCAATCGAAATTTCATTTTGGGGAACAGGACAAAGTCGCAGGGGGTCAGGCGAATAGGGTGGGTGGAGAAACACTGTCGTGTTTTTGGAAGCCAAAAACTGCCGAACAACGAGTGATGTGTGGGCGGGCGCGTTGTCGTGGTGGAGAACCCAGCTGTTCTCCCAATTTTCTGGACGCTCTACCATAGCCGCTTCAAAACATCATGGATTGTTCGTCTACGATCTGCAACCATAGCCTCTCGCTCTTTTGCGATGTTTTCCGATGTTGTGCTTGTCGATGGTCGTCCTGAACGCTCATCGTCGCCGACAGACGTTCGTCCATCCTTAAAGCGTTTGTACCAGAAAAAAGTTTTACTTTGACTCAAAGCATTCTCACCAAATGCTTCCACAAGCACGCGGTGAGTTTCTACAGCAGTTTTTTTAAGCTTAAAGCAAAATTTGATGCAGATTCTTCGCTCCGAACTACTACAACACGACGTTACAAAAACGCACGAGACTCAAGAACGCGGCCTCTCGCCTTCACGGCTGTTGGCACACTAATTCACAAAGGGTACTGCTCGCCCCATCTAGCGGCGGCAGGCCATTCCACAACCGGTTCGCGCGTGGAATTCAAATTCCCCGAACTTTTGGGTAGCACCTCGTATATTTCCCGCTTGCGTTTTCTCTCTGACTTGATCGCTGTACTTATATTTGGTAAAGAGTGAAAATTATGGAGCTCTTAATTATTAAGTTTTCTTCATTCGCTTGTCGTTTCATCCCTCTTAGATCGAAATATTCTCCTCGCCACCCTGATCTTAAACACCTTCAGTCCTCATATGAAAGAACAAGTTTAGACCCACATAAAGCAACAGGTAAAATTATAACTTACTTTTCTATTTATTTTACATGTCGATGTGATGTCAGTACCGAAGTGACTAGGAAATGAATTATCATGGGCGATCGGTTTTTCTTTACATTTATCTACAGTTAATTTTTATCTTTAATAATAATCGTCTCATTAATTTCGAAAATACCTCACTAATAGGACTATGTAAAGTAAATAGTCAGTTAAACTGGACTTTAAAACGTCGCCAGTATGATACTAAATATAAATAAAATTTTATGAAAACTGCAATGAAGATGTAGGCATATGTAAAGGAAGATCATAGTCTAAAATAAATTCTCAAAAATTACTAATATTTTAGGCGCAAATTAAACGTTAGGCCCGTA